TTGGCTTTTTCCCCCAGCCCAAAAACATGAGTTTTAATTGTGGTCCCAAAAAAAAAAAAAAAAAAAAAAAAACTGCTTGTGTGCATGGTGGTTTGTCCTGGCTGTGTTGCCCTGGCGATATGATCAGGGTCTACCAGCCCCCCCGGCACCCCTGCAAGGATGAGTGTGTTGGGTATGGATGTTCACATCTGAATATATGGTGCACCCACTAACTTTGAAAATAAACAAAATTGCACTTGTAAATGCCTCACTGCAGGTATTCATTGTATCAAGATAGTGATGCACGCATGCACAAATATATATATATATACATATACTGTACATGCTTTTTTTTCCAGCATGACTGTATCACAGCTGCTTAAAAATATTGAGCCGGATAATAAAAATGCATTAAAGCACCTTTCAAAATACTCAAGGACACTGTACAAAAAATAAAACACAACAATACACCAACAAACAATCAGCAACTTGCATAAATCAAACATAACGGAGATTATACAGATTTGAAAAGATGTTTTGAGGTTTTCAGACTGAGGGAGGGAGTCAGTTTTACGGATCAGGGGACGGCTGATTCCAGAGCAGAGTAAGAGAAGATGATGGCCTCCTGATACTGAGACAGAGTGGACAGAGAGGTGAATGAAGGCAGAGGAGCTGGGACAGGATGGCCTTGAAAGTGATGAGAAGTGGTTTAAAATGGGTCCAGAAGTTGATGGGGAATCAGAAAAGTCATCATCTCGATCTTCTTCCTCTGCACTAAAACCACTGAAGTAATTTTCTTCAGTGTTCGAATTGAACAGCCTCGCACACATCTTCACTCTCTTTTGTTTTTGCTCTCAATGTCACTTTTGTCTTGAGGTAAATTTGCCTTGAGCTTTTTTTTTTTCCTCTTTATGTTGTATTAGTTGCAGGTAAAAAAAAACTGTTTATAACCTCTCAAAGAGCCGGAACTGTGGAAAAGCTTTATGGTTTTCCGGACGAAAACGTCTATGGGAAAAATACTGTTGCATCAGAAGGAATCTCCACTGAGTACCAACAAGTGTGTTTTTTAAACAAACCCTATAAAATATTGTTCAGGTGAGATTTACAATGTGCCTACTTGTAAAAATGTAGCACTCAGTAACTTTATTGTGCAGGTTTGTCCAGTCTGTACATCTTAAAGCAGATAACCTGCCTAAACCCTGAAGCAATTTCAAAAGGCTGCTTTAAAGATTTTTTTTTTTTAAACACCTTGTCTGTTTCTTTGCTCTTCTGACGGAAGTTTTATGCAGAAATGAAGAATTAAACTTTAACTCTGTTTGTCAGTAAAACAAATTGTTTTGTACTGAGTCAGACCAAAAAGGACAGATCTTGTCCTTGAGGACTTGTTTTACTGATTTACATAGTCAGGTCAGTAGGAGGCTCTTGTAGACCTGAGAAGCTGAATCAGGTGTTTTTGTTTTAGAGTCACATCTAAATCCTTGATGCTGACCTGCCATTCAAATACATTGCTTCATATAAAACAATCAACATGCATATGCACTGATCTGTAAATGTAATCAAAACTTTAATTATGTAAGTAGGATAAAATAAACCAATGAATATTGTCTGGTAATACAAATGCAAGTTGTCTTAATCAGTCCTGTTTTTTTTTTTTTTTTTTTTTTTTTATAAGATGTTTGCAGGCTGGTGATTATTCAAACACAGTGCAGTTTAGGGGAAAATGTTGCATCATTAATAAACAATGAATGTACAAGTCTGTATAAGCTTAAAGATATTACTGGCCTGCTAAAGTCAATGTGTCAATGAAGCACACTGATCGGCTTTGATTCTAAACCCGAATACATTGATTTTCCAAACATGCTAAACTCATCACCTTTTCCACACTCCATTGAACTCCTTCAAGAGTTCAGATCCCTTCACTTATGATGCAAGTACTTTGTGTCCCTTAAAACATAGTTACTCATTTATTTAAATGTGTCGCTGAGCTATTTTTGTTCCTCATATTTTTTTTTATTAGTTAATTGGTGTATTGCAATGACCTAATTCTAAAATGAAACACAATTTTATGTAAACGTCTGGCACCCTCAGTCATACATTTTCTCTCTTGCCAGTAGTAAAATGAAACTTTTTTTCATTCACTCCTGCCTCATAGTTGTAAAAATCCTGCTTGTTTCTACACAGATTCGCTGCATGTTAAACATATGGGGGGTGATCTTGTACCTGCGACTGCCTTGGATCACGGCTCAGGCTGGTATCGGTATGTTGAGCATTCCTGGTGTGACGCACTTTCAAGTGTTTGTTCTCGATTTTAAGACTTTAAGCCATTTCAAGCATTATTTAGTTAACATGTAGAAAAAAATGTGGCTATGAAAATGATTCAGTCTGCAAGGATCTGGTGAAAAGCGTTTGTAAATTATGACAGAAGAGGTAGAAAAGAACAATTAATCAATGTAAGTGAAGTTCTCCAAACATAAAGAATGTCTCATAGACGTGCCAGATGGCATTGACAGCACTTGTCAGGGTTTGATAAATGATGCACTTCAAGTTCATATGCAACTGGATGGCTGTATTAAGAACTGCTTGTTGTATAGAGAATAGCTGACATGTTGACAAATTGTACAACACAACCAACCATAATGCAAACTCTCAAACAAAATCAAATTACATCAAGTGCTAATTATGCCAACGCATCTTACAAGGCATATTCTGTATATGAAGACCTTCAAATGCCTCATTGACTGCAATTGTCTGAACCAAAGTCTTCCGCTCCAGAACTGCCAGCTCCTTGCAAATTAATTGACTGACATAACCTTCATTGGTCTGTGTGTATGCTAAATTACATCACATTTTCAATGGATGAACTGAACCTTTACTCAGACCGTTTCCCACCTCTGACAGGTATGACCTGGGTCATCATTTTGCTGTCATCTACTATAACTGGGATCACTGGTCTCTCCACTTCAGCCATAGCCACCAACGGAAAAGTCAAAGGAGGTTTGTTATTAGAAGATGGTCTATTTTCAATGAGGAAAAAGTCACAAACTTCTAACCAGATCATATTTTTCACCTCGTCATACCCCAAGGCGGTACCTACTTCCTGATAAGCCGCAGCCTCGGTCCAGAGCTGGGCGGCTCTATTGGCTTGATCTTTGCTTTTGCCAATGCTGTGGCTGTGGCAATGCACACAGTGGGCTTTGCTGAGACGGTCACGGACCTCATGAGGGTGAGAAGCATTCTCCACACACATGCACAAATCAGGTTCACAATAATCCAAACAGAAACTCCTTATATGCATCTCTTTCTTAGGAACATGAAGCTGTCATGGTGGACCGAACGAATGACATCCGCATCATTGGGATCATCACTGTAACATGTCTGCTTGGTATTTCAATGGCTGGCATGGCGTGGGAGTCAAAGGTTAGATCGGTGGTCAAAGAATTTAACAATCCTGGGAGTTTACTTCAAAGATATGCATAGCATTTCTGAAAAGTAAATAAGAATAATAGATGGTGTTAAATAGTGTTAGGGATGTTCTTTTTAATGTGGTAATGTTTTCTTTTGGTTCCACATTACATTTTGTCGTAGAATGCTTTTTTTCACTATCAGTGATGATTTTCTTTATTTTAAAACTAAATTGCTAGTCTTTAATTTCAAAATCAAAACACATTCCCAAGAAACAAACAAAAAAAAAAGCTAATTTGTTTAATCTGTTGTTGCCCTGAGCTAATTTTAGCTCAACCAACAAAAGTAATGGTTCTCGGGGCTGTAAAGGTTTCTGAACTCCAGCTGAGACCAGTATAAAACGTATAGTTAAATTTTATTGTATCTTTAAAAAGACTGGGTGGAACTTTAAAATTTCCGTTCACATTTTTAAAATGTTCTCCTAAAGTCTTGCTAGTAGTTCTTTTTACTGTGAGCATAAAATTGTGACACCACATTCCAGACTTCAGATATCTAGGTTACCTGACTGTTTCTATACAAGTTCCAGAATTGACTGTTGTATAATCTGTGGCACATAAAAGGTTTATAGGAATAAATTCAGCTGTGTTTGAACAGAATGTCAGGCACTGCCAAGGCTTTCTGCCTTGTAACATCAAAGGTTAAACCAGTTTAGTTCAACTATAAATGTATTCAAACAGTTGCATAAAATGAGACTTTCACAGAGTGGGACAGAAATAGAAACAAAAACCTTTACAATGGAGTCTGAGATGATATTGTTCAGATTTTGCTAAAAACCCAGTTTTATTTAATAAACCTTCTTAAATGTTTGTCTGCACTGCCCACTTACAGTACTTTGCAATGTGTTTTCCACAGGCCCAGATTTTGTTCTTCCTTGTCATAATGGTGTCATTTGCCAGTTACATCGTTGGGACCATCATGCCTGCTTCTGTGGAGAAACAAGCCAAAGGATTCTTTAGCTACAAAGGTAACTATTATTGGCACTTGGCCCTAGCTGAACATATTTACATTTTTAATCTTCCCACTGCATTTCCTTGATCATTTTAGTAGTTAAATTGTCTTTTTTGTTTGTTTTTATTGTAGTTTATATTTTAATGGGTGATTTTTCTGGCAAGTTTATACTTTTGACATAAAACATGTCTATAAGATATGAATCCTTGGGATGAAATGGCCAATCTAGGTTGCAAGTTCTACACCAAGACAAATAACACTCCCTTCTCCCTGATTCTACCGTAACTTTTACCATTTCAACTTCAACAGCTGATATTTTTGCTGCCAATTTCGTACCCGACTGGCGGGGTCCGGAGGGCAGTTTCTTTGGCATGTTCTCCATTTTCTTCCCATCTGCTACGGGCATCCTGGCAGGAGCCAACATCTCTGGAGATCTGAAGGTATGCAAGTGTATTTTTTCCTCTTTCTTCTATTCTATCAATATATGGGGGGAACATATATCCCCCACAGATAAAAAAAAACTAAATAAAATACGCATGAATAAATATTAATGTGGTTGGATAGAAGTAGTTTACTTTGTATCTTATGTGTTTTCCATCTTAGAATCCAACAGTAGCTATTCCTCGAGGGACACTGATGGCGATTTTCTGGACTACTTTTTCCTACCTTGTCATCTCTGCAACCGTTGGTAAGCCTACTGTATACTATTGTATTTCCCATACTACTGTATGGGAAATATATGCAGAGAGTACACTTCCAATGTAGTATTTGAACATGTTTTGTTGCCGTTTTCTCTAGAGTAAACTTAAAAAAAAATCTTCCCAGCACTGAACTATTAATCCCTAGCTAATAATCGTTTCCTTTTCTATGTCTATTTTTTTTGTCATTAAAAGTTTGTCGATGGTTGTTAATACTGAATTTCTTCCTTTGTATGTTAACTTTTATGCAGGATCTTGTGTGGTCCGGGATGCCTCTGGCTCTCTGAATGATACTTTGTCCCCTTCAACACCCATCGACGACTGCGTAGGTTTACCATGTCAGCATGGATGGGATTTCACCGAGTGCATTAACAATAAGACCTGCACCTACGGCATTAGTAACTACTATCAGGTCAGTTGTAACCCATGCAATCATGCCACTATACACTCTCCTTATATCCAAAATTGTGAAGGACAGTTTTTGTTGACATTATTTAATTCCAATAAAAATGTGAATAGTTAATAGCTATTAATGCCTCTAAACTATAAGGAGATGCAGAGCAAGGTGGCAATATGATGGCATAAAATCTACATCAGTTGTAACTGTAGCTGATCTTGTGTCTGTTTTTAATCAAATTCTAAGATTAAGTTATTTATTGCCACAAGGATAGATGTCCAATCAAAACACATTTTTTCATACATTTTCCGTGAACCATATAAAACATTTTTGACAAGAAGCAGGCGTTTAATAAATCAGACCTTTTCTGTGATTAGTCGCTAAGCATGGTGTCGGCCTTCGGCCCTCTCATCACTGCTGGCATATTCGGAGCAACTCTGTCCTCAGCTTTGGCCTGCCTGGTGTCTGCTCCCAAGGTGTTTCAGGTACAAACACAGTTTCTCAAACACCACTATACAGATGTGGAAAAAAATGGCCCTGCATCTTTTGTTTGAAGTTTTTATCCTATTTATCATATTCTGCTTTACAGTGTCTCTGCAAGGACCATCTTTATCCTCTCATTGGTTTCTTCGGCAAAGGATATGGCAAAAACCATGAGCCACTCAGAGCCTACCTGTTGACGTACATCATAGCTGCCTGTTTTATTATCATTGGTGAGTCAATGAGACGGATGTTTAATGTATTTTCTAACCAAGTCCTACAGTGTGTTGGGTTAACATTCAGCAACTTTTTGGTTTTTGGAATAGATATTCTTTATGACCACAAAATTAAGTCTTAAAGTTTATGAGAGCAATGAAAGCAAAAATAATTTTAGTATCAAGATGCAGTTTAAATTCTTAGTAACTGAATATGATTTTTTTTCCCTTTTATATCAATTTAGTCAGTATATTTGATATGATTGATGTTTATCTTTTCATCATGTATACAATGCAAATTTAATTATTAACCGTATTGGTCAGTTGAAGAGTTAACATTAAACAGGTTCATGTTTTTCACTCAATAAAGAGTAGCTTATGACAAGTAAAATTATTTTCTGTCTTATAATTTACCAGCCGAGTTGAATGCCATCGCTCCAATCATCTCCAATTTCTACCTCTGCTCCTACGCTTTGATCAATTTCAGCTGCTTCCATGCTTCAATCACCAATTCACCAGGTAGGTCAAAAATATTTGCTCTCTTGCAGAGTTCTTCTGTAGTTGCTTTTCTGTCACTTTTTTTTTTGTTCATTTCATTAAGAAATGCTTGATGTATTAGACAAAGGCAGCCTGAGTAAAAAGAAAAGTCAGTTTCAAAACCAACCAGGACCTCTGTGAAAATATGAGCTGAAATATACTAACACCTTCTTGAATGGGTGTTCATTTTTACTAGCCATGCTTAAGCCTGATTAAATTAATAACAATGATTAATTTAAATAGAACCTCTGGCAACATGAAGTAGGCTAAAAGATCTTAAAAGGCAATACACGACCTACTATAATTAAATTCAAGTACACATTAAAAAAACAAAAAATATATAAAGCTCTGGAAAAAATGCAAAAACATTTCTAGGATTCTGAGTCTTCACTGAACCATAGTGAGAGCCATTATCTATAAATGATTACAAAAACCATGGAACAGAGGGACTTTCAAAATAGCATTTTGGTCCTTTAAATAGGAGGTCATAAAGGAGCAATAACAGCATCTAAAGCTGGGTGGGCCTCAGTTGAGGACAATCACTACTGACCTCAAAAAAGGCCGGTCTCACTTTCCCCATAAATATTTTTGATGGTTCCCAAGACTTTTGGAAAAATAGTCTGTGGACTAACGAGACAAAAGTAGAAGTTTTGCAATGTGGTCCCTGTACATATAGGGACACACTGGCAGTGTTCCTTAAACAGAACATAGTATAATTAGACAGACACAATTGAGGCAGGATCATTCTCAGGGGCTGCTTCACTGATTCAGGAGTTGAAAACCTGCTATAATTGATAGCACAAATTCTGGTCTCCAGCAGAATCCTGAATGATTGTCCCATCAGTTTAGGAGAGTGATCTTAACCGGATTTTTCGTGTTCAAAAACCCTCCAATGTAAGCAAAGTTACAGCAATCAAACAAAGAAAGTGCAGGCAAAATTTCTCCACAGCGATACAAAGGAGTTATTGCAAATGCGTGATGCCATGTGCTGCCACTAAATATTCACAACCAGAACTTACATGGGGTCAGATTGCCTATTCAACTTTAACAAATCAAATCGTCATCCCAAAAACGGCAATTTACATTTACTCCTTTATTTTGGCATATAATGATCAGACATGAACAACAAATGACCAAAAAACAGACAAGATCTTAAAGGTGAAAATTTTTCCCTGCACTGTAACTTATGAATCATGTTAAGCATGCAAGTGCATAACATGATGTAGCTGTGTATCATTTTATGTCCACGTTAATGTCTACATTAAATTGCATGAAGCTGTGCCCTTGAGCATTTGATAGAGTAGCTAAAACAAAGGCCAGTTTCTCTGACTGGGAAGTGTGGATTGTGTTTATTTGTACATCTGCAGGTTGGCGTCCATCCTTCAGATTCTACAGTAAGTGGCTGTCGCTGCTATGTGCTGTGATTTGTGTGGTGATCATGTTCCTGCTGACCTGGTGGGCGGCTCTTATTGCAATTGGAGTTGTCTTTTTCCTCTTGGGATACACACTGTACAAAAAGCCAGGTAATCTGACTCGCTGTAAAAAAAATATATTTCCATAAAAGTCTAGCTTATTGTCATATCAAAGCTTTCATTCATATTCCTTGCTGGGCTTAGATGTGAACTGGGGCTCGTCACTCCAAGCAAGCTCCTACAACATGGCGTTGAACCATTGTGTGGGTCTGAACGTCGTGGAGGACCACGTCAAGAACTACAGGTTAGTGATATGCTTAGGTCTGTGTGAAGATTTTATGAGTAGCTCACTGTTAGAGGACTGCAGCCAAGAGTGATCTCATGGGGTAACTGGTTGTTTTTGACAGTTTCCTAAACTCTGCTTTAGACATTAGCTGGAATTGTGTACTTTGGTCAAGTGGGACTAAGACTCAGGTTTCAGGAAACAAACACTCCATTTGGATGTGGTGAAAAACAAAAGACAATGTAAAATGACTGTATCTCTGTATCTAAGATGTATCTCTTAAAATTATTTGCTGCAGTGGAATAACAGTGGAATAATAGTTTAAGTTGTTTTAGTGTATTCAGATCATGAACAGAAGTCGGTATAAGTACATAAGAAGGTGCTTTGCTATGGTTATAGTACTTTTCCTGTTTTGATACTGGGTCTGGATTAAACCTCTTTATGCCTTTGCTCCCTCCAGACCCCAGTGTTTGGTGCTCACTGGTCCTCCCAGCAGTCGTCCAGCTCTCTTGGATCTCGTCAACTGTTTCACAAAGGACCTCAGTCTGATGATGTGTGGAAATGTGGTCACTGTGCGTACAGATTAAAATGCCCACATGAAACTCATTCTAATGCAATAAAGCAGTACATAAGGTTCTTTGTGTTTAGCGTACCAATTTAAAGAACTACTAATTGTCCTTCCTGATTTTCAGGCCGATTCTTCCCCATCAGCTGTAGAAAAGGCGAGCAGTAACAGCCATATCTCCTGGTTGAACCAAAGGAAGATAAAGTCATTTTATAGGGGAGTTGTGGCTCCGGATCTGCGTTGTGGGGTTAACATGTTACTTCAGGTCAGAAACGGCTCAAACTCCCTAACAACCAAAATATGACTTAAACAAGGATCAGTGTTGTAGTGTTTTGAATGAAATATCTTTCTATTCAACAAAGTGTTCTACATTTTCCATTATGGAATCAGCTGTCTATCTAGAACATTTGTTCATTCTAATGTGTTTCAGTAAATTTTAGAGTTCAGTCTATGCAACATAATCTGTGTCCGATGGTTTGGCATAGAATTTGTAAAGTTTGAGGATTCATTTTCACAGAGTTTTATACTTTCTTTGAATATATTTAAGAACGTGACCATCTTCTTTCCACTCTGCTCATGTTGCTAACTCCCCACCAGGGGGCAGGATTGGGTCGAATAAAGCCAAACGTTTTGCTGATGGGTTTCAAGAAAGACTGGCGCTCCGAGCCATCTATTGCAAACAACTACATAAATATCCTGCAGTGAGTAATATTTGCGAACTTATCTACATAGCATAAATAATCTTATGGATATGTAATTTTTGAAATATTTTACTGTCCAAACATGAAGAAAACAAAGCTTTGTTGAATTCAATTTTACGTGCTCTTCAGTGATGCCTTCGACCTGCAATATGGAGTGTGTGTGCTGAGGATGAAAGAGGGCTTGGATGTCTCCAGTCCACCTCAGTCGCATGGTGAGAGCATTATTAAAGAACAATTTAAAGTTTTTAAGTGATCAATACGTTCTTCCCTGTCTCACATTGATGTTAATGTTCTTATTACAGTTAATCAGGGTTTCGATGAGGGACAGGACAGCATTAACACCATCTCTCCCGGCTCCCTTATTCGAACGAGCACAACATGTATGTACTGTGCACATCATCACACCACAAGAAAATATGTATTTTCCTGATGGAGCTTTACATATATTCAGATCCTACAATGATTATTGTTTGCAGCTTCTGTATCTGTTGATCTTGAGCCGCAGCACACCACCGTGTTCCAGAAAAAACAAGGGAAGAAGACCATTGATATTTACTGGCTGTCTGATGACGGAGGTGGGACCGCTACGTCTGCAGTCGCCAGTCAATCACCTTCATCTCTTGCTTTTAGCATGATTCCTAATGATGATCTTTCTGTTGATAGGTCTGACGCTGCTGCTGCCATACCTGCTGACTCGCAGGAAGCGCTGGGCCAGGTGTAAGGTCCGAATTTTTGTCGGAGCGGAAACAGACAAAAAGGACGAGCAGAAAGAGGAGTAAGATTACCCGTTTCATATAAGAGATCTACTACTTTAGTTTCTTTTGGAGGAGGGGATAAAAATGGGCAGAAGGATCTGAGTTTTTTTTTTTCTTCTTTTTTACGGTGGAGGTTTTGTGTAAATTTTGATTTTAGATTTTTGCTACAATAAATGTGCTCACTTTGTGTTTTTGGCCTTGATTAATTCAAAGCTACATTGCATGTATGCAGAGCAATTAATGAAATACTGAACACTGAAAACCGTTGACTTTATAAAAAAAAAGGTATAGCCAGTCCTGTTTAAGGTCATTGTGGTTTAGTGAATAATTCTAAATAGCTTGCCTAATTTCTTATCATTAATTTCAATAATTGTGATATGATTTATATGGCTGTTATATGAAGTTTAAATGAAGCAATATAGTCATAATAGAATATGTTTTTGTTTTAAGACAGGATTGTTTTTATTTTTATTTTGAGATTATATGAAAAATATCTTCGGTGTATGGTTTGTTCCTAGGGTTTTGTCTCTCATCAAGAAGTTCCGTCTCGGTTTCCAAGACGTTGAAGTGATTCCAGACATCTACCAAAATCCTCAGCCTGTCAAGTAAGACTGCACGCTTTGTTCAAGGATTGGGTATTTCAGTAAATCTGTCTCAGGATCAGATTTATCACATAATCTATGCAAGAGAAATTTTGAAAGATCCAGAAACTCCATCCCAGATCTCAGTTAGCATGTTATAGATCTCAAACCAATTTCAAGCATGTTGATGGACGTGATGATCTTTTGGGCTTGTTTTACAAGCTTGGATACTTGGATACCGTACAGTGATTGAGTCGGCGATGAACTCCTTCAGTTCATCGCTGATGCTTGATCCAAACTCGATCATTAACAGGATAATGATACTAAACACAGCAGCAAATGCAGAACAGGATGGTTGAAAAGGAAAAGAATAAGGGAGTTGCCAATGCCCAATCTTAGTCCAGAGCTCAACCTTGTTAAAAGTCTAACCCGTGCAGAAATAACTGTCTCTAAATCTCAACAAATTGAAGCAGCTGTGAAAAGAAGTAAATCAAAATCACTCCAAAAACTGTGACATAATGGTGAAGTCATTCAGAAAGCAACTTGTTGCTGATAAAGATGATACCACAAGGAAAACTGCATGACGTGTACTTTGCTTTTTCTATCCAGCAGAAGGGAAAAAAAACACACAAAAAAACACGCTGATCCAGACTTTTGAAACATTATCTAATAATGGACTTCTTATTTTCTCCAGTGTTCATCATTTCGAGAACATGATTGGTCGCTTTAGGGTGGACTCAAATCCTAAACAGGACTCTGATTCTGACCCTCCAAGGCAGCAGGAAAAACCTTGGATGATCACTAACCAGGATTTGGAGAGGAACATGGCTAAGGTCTGAGAAATTCTTACCACTCACATTTCTCTATCCCTCACTTCTTTGTAACTAGAATTAACACTGTGTGACCTTCAGTCCCTCCGTCAGATTCGTCTGAATGAGGTGCTGCTAGATTACTCCAGAGATGCAGCTCTGATTGTGATGTGAGTGCAACATTTGTAACTTTCGTTGCTTCTGTCCTTCAAGCCAGAAGATGCAATTGTTGCAAACTGAAAATAAATCCTGTTAAGTGTCCTTCATTGTGTCTCCTAACAGCACCATGCCAGTGGGGAGGCGAGGCAGCTGTCCCAGTTCTCTGTACCTGGCTTGGCTCGACATCTTGTCCCGGGATCTCAGAGCTCCAGTCCTGATGGTCAGAGGAAACCAGGAGAGCGTTCTTACTTTCTACTGCCAATAAATTTTTCCAGTAATTATGTTGTTGTTAAAAGGAAATGATGTAACACTGTAGGGCCTTGAAAACTGAAAAACCTGAGATATTTTAATGTAAATTTTGTGCAATTGAAACCAACATGACAATATAAATGTTTAAAAAGTAACTCACATGCACACAAAAATAATTTCTCTTTTTTTTAAGGATTTATATTCATTTTTCCTCCATTGATTTTTAATACAATCAAAAGATATTCAAAAAGTGTGGCAGATCTGCCACACTTTTTAACACCTTTTCTGAATTATTCTAAATTTGGGTTGGTAGTAAAAAATGAGTGATTTGCTTCCAAAACTTAATTATGTAATTTATTAAAACATAATAGCATTATAATACAATAAAATGACAATCTAAATCAAGGTTCATTTCTATATCAATGCCTAATTTAATAGGCTTTATATTTGTAATTGTTTCACACTGTCAGTCAAATTCTTACATATTTTCTCTAAACAACAAAGTAGTGCATAACCGTGAAGTGGAAGGAAATGATTCTGGGTTTTCATAATTTTTCTAAATAAAAATCTGAAAATTGTGAGAGTCTGGCAAATCACAAACAGAACCTGTTGATCTTCTGCCATTAAACTTTGCATTATCAAGATTTGGTTATTAGAAATTAATAACCCAATTAAGCTGTTGATTTATGTTGTGGCATGTTTATTGGTACGCTGCTACTGTAGTTAATTCTGAGGGCGGGATCAGAGAAATCAACTATTTTCATTAAATAGCTTTTAATAAATCAAAATCTCCTGAAATTTCCTTTATAATTCTGACATGTTAAGAACATTAATAATGACTGTTTTTTCTTGTTTTCATTCAAACAATTCAATCAGCTTCGATTGTGGAATGTATTAATGTATTTCTGGAGTTTTATTCCTTTAATTTTCAATCATGAAAAACCCATGTTTTATGTTCACATATGAAACATTGGAAATAAAAGAAATGTGAAATTGCTTTTTTTAAAAACCTATGAAGTGGCCATCATGTTTTCATTTTTCATCTTCCACCAAGCCAAGGTTGGTTTAAAGAGGTTCAATGGCAAAGCCAGACGCCTTCCCATCAGTGACATGCTGAAGTAGTTTAGTCTGAAGGATCCCAAAGCCAGTAATTACACTAGTCCATTGACTTTAGTCATGGGTTTCCTCTGGGTCTCCCTCAAATGGAAGTAGTGTGTAATCCGGGGTAATTTATTTAGCATATTTAAGCATATTTATCATGCTAATATATTTTTCATCAGAGCACATAGTACATGTTCTGGAAATGTTCCAATGTTCTACAGCCAAAAGTGTCTTGTATACTAAATAAATAGGGGTCCACAGCTTGTAATTTCCCCCCAAACTGCTTCATTGGCTTTCCTTTACTATCCTGTCAAAGCTGTGGTAATGCCTAACACTAACATCTTTTTCATCCATCCTTTTTAACTAATCTGTGTAACAGGATTTTCCTTTTTTTAAGTGAATTACTGACAAATTAATATTTCAATGTTCTTCCAATGTATTGACATGTACCCATTCCGGACTGAATAAGATAACTGATGCAACATTACTGGATGAGTAATATTCTGAAAAGTTACTTTTTCAATCACAGACGGATTAAAAGAGAGGACACACTTTGTTGACTTTTCAGATACAACAAATGTAAGGGATGCTACTGAAGTGGAAAATGGGGTCTTAAATGGCTGTAAAATTCCAGAAAAATCTTTTGTTGGGAATTTAAACGTATAAGATGGATATTCCTCTTTGTGTAAAACATGTATAATGTGTTTAAGGAGTTGTCAACTTCGAGTTACCCCAAGAGCCAAAGTGAGCCATTTCAGGCACTATTGTAAAATAGACGATCTTTGAATAATTTCCGCGCATGCTCTCAGTGCAAACATTTGACGAGCCTCCACGTCTGAGCGAAAGTGGCGTTTAGCCAATCAGGAGCAGCCACAATGTGTTTGGAAACAATACTGTTCCTGTAAAGTGCAGTACGACGGACCGCATACAGATAGTTCTAGACGCTGCTCCCGTCGTAGTGTTTCTCAGCTCAAGAAAAGGTTTACTTTTGTTCCAGCCTTTCTACCAGTATATTTTATAACAGACCGTCGCTGTTCCTGAGTAGCGTTGTTGTAGCGGATACCTCCACCCAGTTCTGGTAACCACGTCAACTTACTCAAAAGTGAAAATGGATTTAGAAGATTCTCAACAAAAGACGACCAGTCTTCTCGTTAAAACGCCTAACCAGGCTCAGGAGGACCAAATTATTGATGGGGTCGACATGAAGTGGACTGTAAAGGACCTTAAGGCTCATTTGTCGAGGGTTTACCCAAGCAAACCGGTATGTAATAAAAGAGGCTACATATTAGCTCGAGGCTATGTTGTGGAATGTCATAACAGCCGCTCCGAGCTAACAGCTGTCAGCCATTTCCTCCGTATTATCTTCCTGCCTGGGTGTATCTGTTCTAAATGTCCGCTTGTTACAGGTTTTCAAAGGCGCCATATAAATCTTCGTAATGCTGTCTTTGTAACCCATAGATTCAGGGTTGTTTTTTTTACAGTGTTTTCCACAAACTTCAAAGGCACCGAGAGTACAGTTTGTGAAGCAAAGATTCAACAGAGGTCATCTCAGGGCGCAGTAGTCAGCAAGGTTCAATTGGAGTAGTTACTGATACAGAGAATACCCCAGAATAAACAATTTTATCTGAACGAGCTACAAAATACATTTTAAACAATGACAATTTAATATTTGTCTGTGAAAATGAAGGTTTTAAGTTTTTTTTTAAGCTGAAATTCTTAAATTAATGCCCCTCCATTTTCATTGAAACCTGTAAAATATTGCAACCCCAAATTGCATAAAAATGGCCACAAAGTGTTAAACTATCTTATATGAATGTTCTGTCTTTGGTAATCATATCAAATGTCTAATTACCCAAAATACTCAAAAAAAAAAAAAATCAGCCTAAGTTAAATTTATTCATGGAGAAGGACCATTTTACAAAAGGGATGAGGCGTATTCAATCTTAAAATAAAAATAAAACATAGCTTTTTCCATCATTCAAGGTAGATGTTTTAGTAAAAATATAGGTGCTTTGAGCAGGCCACTTGGTTGAATTTTTTTATTTAATTTTCTAAAAGGTGGTCTTCAGATAAATAAACATGCATTTTAAGGCCCCAACACTACCCCACCTATGTTGAATAAAATTGTAAAACTAGATTCTGTGTATGTTTACCTTAATATGGGAAAGTCTTGAGATGCCAACAGCTAAAAAAAAACAAAAAACATTTGCTTCTGAGATTAGATGGTGAAGTTAGTCGGTGAGAGGTGGTCAAACACAAAACTGGAAAAAAAAAAAAAACCGTCAAAGTTAAAGAGAAGGTGTAGTTTCACAGTAAAGTTAATTATTATTGATCAACTCTGGGAAGTTAGCCATGTGTTTTAGCCAGCTCTGTAAATGATAATTAACACGCCGCTTGTCAGTTGCAAATTTATGTAAATCTAAGAGTTAAATTGGCCAGGAAGTAGAAGAAATTTCATTTTTCGATCAAGTCAGATCCGTTTTAGTTGTCAATATCTGATGTAATCCTGATTAGGTCTGCATTGTCAATTGTCAGATGTTGTGGGAACAGGTGAGGCAGGTGTTTGCAAGCAAAATGCAGAAATTGTAAGAAATGCTGTATTTAATTTTTTTTTTTTCAAAATGTTTTGCATAACTCACTTGTAATAACCTCAGCTGTGTAGTATTTTAAAAGTAACATTGCTGTCAAAAACTTCTACAAAAGTCAATTATTTAATGTGACAACATAGACATGTTTATTTGCTCTTTTGCAATTTGAAACATAAGATTTTAAGTTTTCTTTAGATGACTCTCGCAAATTATCCTTAGGGTATAAAACAGGTTTAATGTGTGACTTTCTTTCTTCCAAATGATTTAATGCCTGAAATGTAAGTTTTTTTTGTTGTTGTTTTTTTCTTTTTGTATTTTAGGCTATAAGTGACCAGAGACTGATCTTTGCTGGCAAGCTGCTGCCTGATAATTTGCACATCAACGATCTTTTCAGACAGGTATGTTTTCATTGTGTTTATTGTTCATTACAATATGTTTAAATTTATTAAAACTTAGAAATAATCCAAATTTACAACTAAACTTTAAATCAGTAAAATTATTCTGGGTAATCCAGGGTACAGAATTTCTGGACACTTTTCTCAGTGAACATTGTTTGATATTTAACAGCCTCTTGAGGAGTTCCTCAGCCTGTAAACGAGTTCTTATTGTTTTTAATTTCAGTGTAGGATGATATTTCATATCTTTTATCTTGCAAATAATTGTAATACAACACTGTTTAGCAAACATCCTTATAAACAAATTTTTTTCACGTTTTCTTCAGTTGCCGTGGCACTACTTTTATGAACTAATCCACATATTTTTTTTTAAATGCGGCATGCATGTTTAACACTGGGCTGTGTTGCGAACCAGATTATTCCAGATTATGTCCTTACATATGGAGTAATTCCACTAACCAGCATGAACTTTAAAGGTGCAACTCTTGCTTTGAGAAAAGAAACACCAGCTCTGTGTTAAGTAGGAACAGTAGAGCTGAGCCTGGAGCTGCATGCAAATACTGCTAATAACAAGAAACACAACAGGGGATTATTCTGGGGATCCATCGTGTAATGTCATTTGATTAGCAAATATTGTGAGAGTGCAAAAGTCTAAAGGTCTTTGGCTTCTATTTTTGTTTCCTGGAGAATTATATAATCACGTGTATCTATATTTTAGCAAAGACTTGTTTTTTTCAAAGCTGAGGCAGAAGAAGAACAGAGTTTAAATCAGGTGTTAGAATTCACTGAGTGCTAAACTAGGTGATTGTTTTTTTTCTTTTGTTAGATTTTATGTGACTACGAAATTGTTCTGGTTTTTGAAGGTTTAAGGTGACCCAGACATTTCCACTGTGAAATAACTAGATCTTGCATAAACAGAAAAGAAACACCAGCTGTGTTGTAGCCAAAGTGACAGAAAGACAAGCCGCACTGTGTTTATACCAGCTTGTTGTCTTTTTTTTTTTTTTTTTTTTTTTTTTTTTTTTTTTTTTTCCAATGTGCCGTCTCAGTGAGGGTTTACGGGGAGGGAAAAGTCACTTTTTTATCTTCAATTTTGCAGATGGACTCCATTCCCACTCTGCACCTGGTGTGCCCCATGAGGAATCCACCCAAAGCAGCAACAAAGGTAAACATTAGTTTAAAAAGTATTTAAATTTCTGATCTAGAACTGTAGTCTCTGCAGTTCTAGATTAGAATCTGTACCAGGTAAGTATGCAGATAGATATTTGTGGGGTGGGAGCTCAATAACAAAGATAGAGTTTCAGTTTCATATGTCTCTCAAGTCGAACTAAAATTGCCTGCTCCTTTGTCATGAAGGAGCACATTGGGTGTGTTTTGTTGTGGGAACTGACAATCTGATGGGACGACCACCCTGCTGCTTCTCTGATGTCTGACCGTGACATCTGCCACCCTCGTCCTGAGCATTACGCTGAGACAGTGGAAGGGTTTACCAAGCTTGGCTTAAAAAAAAAAAATAAGGCTTTTTATAAGCAGGGTAAAACCTGTCATCAGTAATGATTAAGAATCTTACTGTAAATTGTATTAAAGTGTCCTTTTGGCTAACCTTGGGCTAAAAACCATGGAGTCACCTTCAACAGCTAAACTTACAGAGGTAAAGTTTTTCCTATTCATGCACTTCTGAAATTTATATCATAATGGCCTCAAAATCTTAAGCTTCACTCACTGAAGCTCTGAGAAACCTTGAGAGAAAACGGTAAACGAGAGTTGTTTTTCAAAAACAGTTTTTTGGTTTAGTAAATATGCGTCCAATGTTTTTGAGTACATTTGTGGTTGCTTAAATTATGTTAACTATCGTTTTAAAATTTGCAGTGAGAGTTGCTAAAAGTGAATTGCCTTTTAAACTATAGAGCTCCTTCAGA